GATGGATGGATGGATGGATGGATGGATGGATGGATGGATGGATGGATGGATGGTGGATGGATGGTGGATGGATGGATGGTGGAGGGATGGATGGATGGATGGTGGAGGGATGGATGGATGGATGGATGGATGATGGATGGATGGATGGTAGATGAACAGAGATGCAGGCTCGGGCAGGAGAGATGGCTCTGTGCTGACTGCTCTTGCAGAGCACCTGCTGTTTGTTTCCAGCACATGATCAGGTGACTCACAGCTGCTTGTAACTCCAGCAGCTTCGATGCCCTGTGACCCCCACTGGTTCCTGCATGGTTGGTGGAATAGTGCAGGCACACGTGTGTGCATAAGTAAAAATAACTAAATGCTCTTTTAAGGGTCCCTGGGGTTTCTGGGCCGCAGCTGAGCTGCATGGGTGAGCTTCGGGGGAGACCCTGGCTGGGAGACCAAGGTGGAAGGCAGGGAGATGCCTCAGATGGCTCCGCCATTAGAACACCCGATGCACAAAAGTGAAGTCTGGGGTTCAGATCCCCATAAATGCTGGGTGGGCGTGGCCGCCTGTCATGGGATCCCCAAAGCAAGCTGTCAAGGGAGAGCAGCCTATCAGTGAGCTCCGGAGAGATGCTGCATCAAAGGAGGAGGAGGAAGGGCAGCTTAGGATGATTCCCAGCATTGCAGGGCTCCACATGCATGCATGCTCGCTTGCACTCACACACACCACACACACACACCCCTCCTGCTCTGAGCAAGCATGGAACCAGAGTCTGCCTCTGTAAGCATCTTCCTGCTGTCATCCTCACGATGACACAGGAGGTTCTAGCTGCCACTTCTCACCAGTGAGCTCCGTGGGGGAGTCTGAGAATTCTGTGGCTGCTGTGGCTGCTTGGCCTCCAGGGCGTTGCACCCAGGCCTTAAAGACTCTTCTTCCTGCCCAGAAACCTACGTCCTGTCCCCACCCCCAGCAGAGGACGCTAACTCGCTCCTCAGACAGGCAGGTGGCTGGGACCCAGGCCCTGCCTCCATCCTTGTCATCCGGGGGTTGCTGAGCCGCTTGCATAGTCAGCCAGACACAGGGAAGATGGTGGGGAGCCGGCTGGGAAGGCCAGGGTGAGGTCAGGTTCCAGGAACAGGGGGCTTGCGGCTGAGAGGCTTTAAGGAGCAGCAGGGGGGCCTCACGGCAGGGTGTGGCATAAGGAGGGGCAGAGGCTCCCAGGAAGGCCCCTCCGGTCCCCCTGTGGTGGGGTCCCTTGTCCTCATGGTCAGCCTTCATTGTTGACTCTCCAGAGAAAGAGAGCTCGGTGTTCTGCCACAGTGGGCTTCAGTAGGCGGCTGGTGTGGACCCGGGTCACGTGGAAACACACAGCAGCACCAGCCTGAAGGCTGGAGCTCTGTATCGAACAGGCTTGCTGTGGGGACCACCGTTCCCCAGGCCGGCAGAGAGCAAGCCTGTTTACGTAGTGTGAAGCCGCCCCATCTCAGGGTCTCGCACAGAGCTGAGACCCGTAGGCCTCGGTCCCAGAAGCCAGCATCCGGGTACAGGGTGAAGAATGCTTCCCTCCGAGCTCTGTGAGAGTCCTAGGGAAGTAGGAGGTGGAATTATCCCTCCTCGGTGAAGGGAAACTGAGGACCTAAGAGACAAACCCATGGCCAAGGCCAGAGAACAAGGACACAGTCTGGCTGCCATAGATCTCTCCCCCACTTCTGCAGGCTTAGACCAATGTGGGGTAGCTCTCAGGAAGAGACCCGGCCTCCCAGCCTCAGTCTACCTGTGAGGCCCCAGGGTTCCCTGAGAACTCTTTTGTACTAATATTTTCACTCTCTAAAAATTGTGTGTGTGTGTGTGCGCGCGCCAGCAGCAATGGCACATGCCTTTAATCCCAGCACTCAGGGAGGCAGAGGCAGATGGATATCTATGAATTTGAGGCCAGCCTGGTCTACAGAGGGAGTTCCAGGATGGCCAAGACTACACAGAAAAACCATATTTTGAAAAACAAACAAAAGAACCAGCCTGGCACCAGAACTGTAATCCCAGAACTCAGGGAGTTCTGCCTGTAATCCCAGAACTCAAGGAGACAGAAGCAGGCAAGTTTCTATGAGTTCAAGGCCAGCCTGGTCTACATAGCAAGTCCAGGTCAGCCAGGGCTACACAGAGAAACCCTGTCTCAAAACACCGAAAATAAATATCTATTTGTGCACATTATATTCAGCCACAGTACCCTCTCCTGACTACCCCCAGGGCCCCTCAACCAGTTTTCCTCCAATTTCACGTCATATCACCATCACCGTCATCACCACCATCATGATCCAGACAGCTCAGCTCTCCCCCGATCTTCCATCTCTTCCGGTCTTTCTGCCCCTCTTCCGTGGTATGCCCTGAGCCTGTGGAGGGTAGCTATCCTCGGTTTGATCTCCTGCAAGTCGCGTGTGCCCTTCCGGCCTCCCTCACAGGAAGCTAGTCTCCGGGGGAGGGGGGAATGGCTCGTTCGCCCAGCTCGCTCCTCAGTGATGACGGAGCCCCCTGGCTTCTCTCTCACCTCCACCCCACAGGTCTGGTCCCAGTGTTGCGGAGCCCTGACGGAAACTGGATGGCCTTGAAGGATGCTGGCACTCGGCCCCCGACCCGTCTGCTGGCCAAACCGAAGAGTGGGACCTTCCAGGCCCTGGAGGCGGCGGCCAGTGCGACGGCTGCTTATGAGGACATGGGCTCCGACAGCGAGGAAGACTTTGATTACGGGGAGGCCTTGAGTAAGCTGTGCCCACCATCTCGGCCTGAGCAGCCCGAGCCTCAGCCTGCCCAGAGTTCCAGCCAAGGTCCCTCAGCCACGTCCCCCTCAAACCCCGAGGCCATGTGTTCCGACTCGGAGACGTCCTCCAGCTCGTCCCGGGAGGCTGGCTGCCGGCTGTCCTGGCTGCAGAGGAAGGCCCCCAGGAGCCCCACGGCAGGGAAGACGCTGCGCCTCTGGGGGGAGCTGGATGTGAACTTCAACCCCCAGGCAGCCAGCGGGGAGACCTCCGACAGCAGTGACCTGGAGGGGGCGCCCCCCACCACAGACCACCGGGCCAGGAAGTGGAGAAGGGCCAGAGGGGGCCCGGAGGAGCCCGGTAGGGGCCGGCCTTTCACTGGTGACCACTCACAGGCCCCGAACACACCTCAGGTAATGCTCGCTTGCCAACATGCACACACTTTGAAACCAGGGCGAGCCTTTCCACGCAGGGTGCCCAGGGAGCCTGGTTTAGGCCGTGCCGGCTACGATTCTGTGCCACCAAGCAGCCACGTGGCCAGAGCCAGGTCACAGCAACCCTTGGCCCTGTGTCCTTGTCACAGACTGCCTTGTCACTGAATGCACACCAAACAAAACACACTCCAAGAGTGTTCTCGGGGCTCACGTTTCTAGCGGCTTCTGTCTACAGGCGCTGTGTCTCTCGTGTGTGAGCAGAATGTGTTGGTGGCAGGGGAGGTGCTGGTGGGCTCCGGCAGCTCATGGTGGACAGGGTCAGGGCCGAGCTGGGCAGAGAGACGGAGGCTCTGCGCTGGCACCGCCTGGCCAGCCTAGCCCCAGGCAAGGAGAGACCCCGTCTCATAAACAAGGTGGATGGTGCCTGAGGAATGGCATCTGAGGTTTATCTGTGGCCTACACACACACACATACACACACGCGCACACACATACATATGCTTTCATACACAGATGCACACACAAACTAGTTAATTATTACTTTTTTCAAAATTAAAGGAAAATTTTTAATTTTTAAAATTTTTAATTTTTAAAATTAAGACAAGCTGTATATCCAAAGAATATTCCTAATCGCTGCACAATTCACAACGGGGTGCCCGAGGCTTCACATTTCCCACAAAGTGGCTGAAAAGCAGGCTTCTTAGGTGGAGTTTCTGTTTCTGGGGTGAAACACCACAGCCGAAAGCAACTCAGCAAAAAAAGAAAGAAAAGTGTGTGTGTGTGTGTGTGTGTGTGTGTGTGTGTGTGTGTGTGTGTG